TCCCCCATGTCATGTATATCTGTTGGTCAGCTGAGAAAGACAAAATATTGATTTGAGTGACATTTTGCAAGATACGCAAATCGTAATCCGCATCGATTTTTCACTTCACAGCATTCATTCAGATCCGATGATAACTTCAATCTCGGCAAGCTGAGCAGTTATCCCAAATCAGTACCAAAACCCAAGGTGATTCATCTGGATTAGGTCAACTCGTGCGTGATAACCAATAAAACACGCCATTCCATCGCATATGGGAAGGAGGACAAACTGTTATTCCGACGAATCCAATAAATTCCCGAAATGTCTATTGTGATAGAAACCCACGCGCGAATCATTGGTAAAGTGACGAATGCAGCCAAAATGGAGAAGCAGCCAGCGGCGGTAAGAAGGGAAGAAATATCTGTCAAATTATGAAGCTTGCCACCACTCAATTGCTGCAGGTTGGTTACGTAGACAAACGAAACAGGTAATATTCACAAATCACATGCGAATCAAAAAGACAGAGAGGAAAGGAACATTTGGTTCGCTTCGGTGCAGCGACATCCTTCAGCACCGTACGGAGTAGGCTCCAAGTATGATTCGGAGGGAATGAAATTTTCTTCATCGCATACCCAGATGATCAATCGATCCGCATTCAGGGTTTGGCCTATACAAACACACATTTGAGTTTTATGATCGAGTTGCTTGCCCGGATGACAGCTCATCCGCCAGGACCCAACCCCTTCATTGTCCAAACGAGAAACGAGAAACGAAAAATTGACAGGGAGGCTATTGCAAAGCCAAGATAAATCAGAATTATGCATATCGCATCGAAATGCGACGGTATCTCAGATGTTGTTGCCTTTTTCCAATCGATCATGTACAGATAGTAGCAGCGTCTCTTACCACCTGCATATAGGTGTGATTTGTAATCGTTCTCGCTCACCATCGTCCCATGGTCTCATCGTCACAACATACTCAATCGGTACATAATCAATTCCTAGAAAATGCTACAGTTTCTGTTCTTTTCGATTCAAGAGCAATACGCGCGTGATCCTATCCGATACTTCCCTCACTCACCTTGCCAATAAATATTGGCAACTCGCAATCTTGGTTGATTATTGATTATTCAGTCAGATAATTATCCACTCTTCGATAAACGTGGACCCCTGGCTAAACTTTGACCGAGGGGTGGTTGAAAGGAATATGTCACCGACTGAAGGTCCATGGACGTTTTATCCCAGTCTCTGACTCTCTTCCCTGGTTGAATATCTCCCGTGAAATCTGGCCGGACCGCTGGCTACACTGATTGGTATATGATTCGTTATATTCGTTATATTCGTTACATTTGCATCCTTGGCGCACCCAACCCATCCATAGCCATCCACACTTCCTCTATTATCTGACGCTAAAAGGACGCATGTTCAGGGTTGACATGCATTCCTCAGCCCAAGCCTTCCAAAATATATTTTTTCACTAGAACACCAAATTCCTTCGAAGCATTCGTGCGAGTAATTTTATGATCGACTCGAAGGCCACTCATACCAGAGACCTCTAACCCATTAACGACCTTTTGGTTTCCTCTACTCCAGACTCAACTATCTCCCTAGTCCTCCTTCTTCCTAGCTTTGACCTTAACATATCCCAAGAAAGACATACAGAGTACTCGGTCGCAGTCGACCGTGAAGAAAAAAGGTTGCAATTATTGAACACAAAGCCGGGCCATCATCACGCCGCAACGCACGTCAGTAGTCTTCTACTTCTCCATTTATCTCCATCCATAAACTGTCTAGCACTACCGTACTGCACTGTACTGTACCGCTTTTTTGCTTGTGCCCTGTTGTTACGACAGGTGAACCTTTCAACCCTACTAAAGCATCTACTAGACTGGATTAGAGTAGCACCATTGTGAATACTTGAAACGAAGCGCGCGACTATCTCGTCGTTAGAAACAAACGCCTTACCCAGGTACTGGATTTAGCTTCTAGCTCTGGCTTCATTTCTTGGACTAATTATTTTTCACCCCCAGAGAAACAATTTATAGTGTCTCCGCACGTCTGGGTCGCCTACACAAGCGTTGTTCAATCATCCCTCCTCCATCGACACTACCGCCACATCACCGGCACATCGGTAATAGTGCAGTATCCATACGAAACCCTCGAGATAGAAAAGATTGAAATCATCTATTCCCAAATTGTTTTAAATCGTGGACCCGAAGAGACTCAAGCTTCTGTCAAAAAGCCCATTGCTATCATCACGTGTATACTATTAAATTCCAATCCAAACGACTACTGGTACAGCACAGTACATACTCCCGTACTTACTATTCCCCCATCAACATTTCGCATTCTGTCCGGGGGCTTGCCAAGGAAATCATCCGAGGCTTTTGATCTACCCTATCTCTGCGCTAGTCACTGTAAGTTAGCTTCCATCATGAAATTATATCCCCATGGGAATGTCAACAAATGATATCAATGTCGATGTCGATATCGATCAATATCCAATCTATGAATATCAATGTAAAAAAAGAACTTTTTCGATGCTTCAAAACTCTTTGTGTCAAAAGCAAGATTTCCTGATTTCTCTTCATCGAGAGTGCATTTATGCATTTTTTGCTTCCCTCAATTTTGATTGATTCATACTGACAGATAAAAGTTGTCCAAGATTAATAATTTTTGCGGGCCCAACAGACGCCTTTGCTCTTCAACCTCACTCTGCCACCCAAAAATAAATATACGTTTGCAACATATCTACCCAAGCATCTCTGAAGCTACTTAGCAGACACCAGTTCAATTCTTTATCACAAAGATACAAGTTGGAAAATCTGCGACAACGCGAAACTTCTACATCTCTATTTCTCGACGCACTTCCGAGAATTGTTTATTGAAAGTAAAACAAGACACGACGCGTCTGTGTATTCCCCCCGTTTGCCGGTAAAAGACGAACGCAGGCAGATCATCAGCGCTATACCTGCCACCAAAATTCTGGGTACTTGTGGTCGAGCATAACGCTATAAAACCCTCGATACCGATTGCGGCGAAGGTTCAGACCCATCAACGCAAGTGACAAAAGCAACGATTCTCCATTTGGAAGACCTGCAGCACAAGCCTCCCGCCATCATCGATTTGGAACTCAATCCACCCCTTCGGAAATATAGATCAGACGAAGAAAACACCAGAGACGTCAAAAAGTAGTAAAAGAAGCGGTGTTGAATTGAAGAGACCACACGAAACGTCAAAAGTAGTAATAAAAGTGGTGTTGAATTGAAGGGACCACGCATACTTTAATTCGATCCAGGAACAGTCACATCCTAAGTACGATTTTGTTTTTCGTGTGAATTGAATATAAAAAAATTGGCTGTATTATCGAACAGGTCATCAGTTTTCTCCAAGACAGCAAGACCTGACATCGGACCTCAATTCCAATTGTCGTCATAAGTATTTGAGATACTGTGAGATCGGCCTCTGCTCAGGAAACTATTCTGGACTTTCGTCATCATCATCATATCGAAAGACTGATTCGTGCACGCACTCAATCCGAGATTCTATCCACTCCTCAACCTGGATCTGAACGATCGAGACTCTCATACAAACAAGGTCTAGCAATTTCTTATCATAGGGAATTGGATAATTGTTACGTTCGTGACGAGACATCTTCCGCATCGTGAATTCAAATTCGTGGTTAACGAACGAGAATTGTTGAAGATCTAGGTTTGATCACCTCCAAGACTTTCTTGATCCCGAAACTAAAGGTAATTGTGTCGTCACTATAACTGTACAAGATCTTCGCAACCATTAGCTGATCGACAACTCTAGACATAATCTATGCACATTTCATCCTAGCGGATCCTCATATGCGGGTAGCCATCTATCTGAATTTGGTAGACTGATTTGAGAGTCTCTAACGACTTCTAAGTTTACTGGACAGCCTGCCATATCAACGGCATAGGGCTTACGATTATTTATTACACGTGCGACCGTTAACTTTGATGCAGTTGTATCGAAATCACCTGGAGAGATAGGAACATTACATCCCAACTTACGAGTACCGAAATTCATCTACAAGTACGAAACCACGAGTCGTGCATTCACTGTCAGTCAGTCTCGAACAGCCTGAACAGCATCTCCCAGCAGGAAGACGGGGATTTGTTTCTGCTCGTTCATTATTTCATTATTCGTAGACTCTCAACAATCATCCAGGCGGACTTGGGCCAGTACTAGAAGTATCTACACCAATTTCTTTGAAAAACAAGAGAAAGAAACTTTCAAGTCCCCACATTCATTCCCCAAAGCAAGCATTGCATACCGGTAACTCCTTTTTCCCCCGTTACTATTTACCACCATAGCATCCTCTCCTTTTTTGGACAGCTTTTTGACCTAACCATACCCATTACTTCCCACTCGAGTAAGCCGAATAAGCCGAATAAGTTAGGGAGAGTCTGCAGGTCTAGTCTACGCTGGGCACGCTATATTACCAAGTCCACACTGCATTACCTAACCTACCCACTCCAGCGAGGGACTCCACTTATCCCACCGCACTACGACAAAGCGAAACTCTAAAACGCACAGACTCTTACGGCACAACACAACACACAATCCACAATAACACACACACACACGCAGCACACAATAAATAAATTTTGATCCAGAGCTATCGGATAGATCGACCCCTGCCCGTTTACTAGAGCCAGATCTGCACCTGCTATACGGAGGACTCGAGTACGTACCTACACCTACACCACTTCCACTTCCTTGTAAAGCTTGGTTGTGGATACCGTCAAATCAACCCATCAATCCAACAATCAAATCGAACCCCTTGAATCTTTTTTTCCCACTGGGTAATAAAGATTTGCCACTTTCCCGTTTTCATCAATTTTGCGGGTGGAGAATTGACCTGATTGATTTGTCCATTGGATTTATTGGATGGATTGATTTGATTGACTTGATTATTGACTTGAATTGAATTTTTTGGGATTGTGGAGACAATTTTAAGAAATTTTATTTTATTTCATTTCATAAATCCATTCATCCATCATAATCATCTCAATTCAATTCAATAATAAATTCCCCAGAATCGCTGAGGCATCTCATCCTTTAAATCATCAGCAGCAGCATCAGCCACTTTAGAAACTTTCTCCACAAAATTCATTTTTTCTCCTTCTCTTTTCTTTTTTCCTTTCCCGCGCATTAATAAGAGTTCGAAAGTTCCTATCATTGAAGAAGCCGCCACCTTTTCAATCACTCATCTATTACTACTCTACTACCATTCTACGTCAGGCTACTACTGTCATAGACTCATAACTCTATCGCGACTGCCATTCATCACAAGTTCGGCAATCATACTACACCACATCCAAACACAACCAAACCAAATCAGACCAGACCAGACCAGACCAGATCAAACCAAACCAAACCAAACCAAACCAAACCAAACAAATCAGCCAACCAACCATATTTTACCGTACCTTAGTCATACGCCTACCTACCTTTTCCATCTTTCATCCAAGTTTTAAAAAGGACTGGACTGGACTTCTGAACTTGACACTAGTCAAACTTTTCCACTCGCAACCTTTCTCCATTTCCCACCTTATTCCATTTCCCACCTTATCTGGAAGGACTAGCTAGGACCTCCTCGACTCAAACATCACGCCCCAAAAACCGGTCATCGGAGTATTTTACCAAGCCTAGTCCATTCTGGGAAATCCTCACAACCAAAACCATCGTGCAATATTGAACTACCACAAAATTAAAATCAATTGCGGTTCCCAATTCCATCATTTCAATCGACCCGTAACTCTGTCCATCCCTAGGACCCAGTCTTTTCGCTCGGCCTTTGCTTTTCGCTCTTTCTCCTCAACTTTAGCGTAAGCTAAGCAATCACTGAAGATCGGCGAACATCTCCATTGACTAGCCAAATCTCCCCCTCCTCAAAACCATTGGAGTTATTTAAAGAAGGAAAGAACCCCCCAGTCTGTCTGAACAACTTCTCCCAAAATACACCTCACCTCAAACATTTCACCTCAAACATCTCTTTTCTCCAACGGAATCGTAGAGTTCTTTTTATAGTAAGCAGCAACCCTGCATCACCATAAAGTCCGAGCACTTCTACACCCACTCCACCTACCACATCTAGTCTTCGACAAGACTATCTTCCAAATATTTTCGCTGTAGTATGTCCTTGGCCTCTACACAGCATCCATTAAACAATTCTTTACCTACAACCACCAACGACGTCGAGAGCAAGAACGCTCCAGACGAAACAGAAGCAAATTTAAGTACGCTTCTTGGGGCATATACAAACGGTCAGAAACACACCTCTATGGAACGAGGTTCTACCGCATACACGCAGTCAGGTTTGCAAACGCCCTATCCACACGCGTTCACCGACGCTCAATCTGAAGAATCACCCGCAGATAATACATCTGCTGCGCAGTATCCACCGCATCAAGAAGTTCGATCGAGCAATTACCCTGCAGCAGCTACTACCGCATCCGAGTACAGTGCAGCTTATCCACCATCGTCGGCGCGTTCAGGCAACTTCTCCGATCACTTACAAAGAACATATCATTCAAGCAGTCATAGTACTGGCAGTGGAGGAATGGCTCAACCAACAAGTCCGTCAATACCTTTGCAAGATGGCCGTTCAGCCCATCAAACCCCGCAAATCAAATCTGACCAGGATGTTCCTATAGATCCATCAATTGCTGCTTCCAGCCCAACCTACGCGTCGCACCCCGGCCAACATTCTCCATACCCTCCACAAGACCAATTGCAGTATGGTTACTCCCAACAACACACCGGCGGCGCGATGTACACCCAGCCAAGACCCGATTGGGCCGGTTACGCAGGTCACCCACCTCACGCCAGTCATCATCAACCTTCTCACAATGGAATGAATTATCCAGTTAGTGGCGCCCCAAGCCAATCATCCGTAGCTGCTGGTGGACGGGGTCCAAGTCAAGTAAGTCGTGTCTTTCGTCCCATCGATGTATGTGCATCTATCTACGCGCTTTTTTTTTAAGCGGGCTGAGGTGCACCGCGCATAGACCTTATGTGCAGAAGACTGTAGAGAAGTCGCGTCCTTTCAGTCATGATGAACCACTAAGAATTAACAGGTCCGTCAGCAGGTCTATTCATTTGTACCAATCCCTGGTTCTTCGCAACAGAAGCGTCCCAGAAGACGATTTGAAGAGATTGAACGTATGTATAAATGTGGACATCAAGGATGTGAGAAAGCATATGGTACATTGAACCACCTCAACGCACATGTAACAATGCAAGCTCACGGAAGCAAACGTACACCTGAAGGTATGTAATTCTTGTTTTCCTAGTCAAATATCCATCGTGGCACGGAATGTGTATGGTGGCAGGGATGGCTCTTGAAGAATTTCTATTTTCAGCCTTCAAGGGACCAGTTAGTCCTTGTTTCTAGGTAGTTTGTGCCGCTTTTGCTAGGTTTCGAAATAGTGTCGGACTAAGGTTTGACGTCGGTTGGCCTACAGCCTTACCGACTAGCATGGATTAGCGGGATCAAACGGGTCTGCTGTGTAACATTGGCAAGCTAACACCTTGTGCTTACAGAATTCAAAGAAATCCGAAAGGAATGGAAGGCTCGCAAGAAGGAGGAAGAAATGCAGCGTAAAGAAGCAGAGGTTGCTCGCGCTGGTGGAGCTCCCACTGTTCCTGAGTCTCACGCTGAAGGCGCTCCAGCCCAAGGTTCTTATGCGCCAGGTCGTAACGTTCAGCTTCCTCCTATTGGAGCTCCCATCAACTATCAACCCGGTGCACAAGTTCCTAACCAATATCAACAAGCTCAAGCACCAGCTTCCTCTGTCCAGCAATTGCAGGGGTATAATAATGGTCAAGCTAACATTGATCACTATGGTGGATATCCAGCATCACCTTACGGCTCTTCAAACCATATCTACAATCACCAATGTCATTATCCCCTCACTCCTTATTGTTAGTTCATGAGTTAACATTTTCTTTAGCTAATTCAGCTCAACCTAAGTACGAGCATTAGATTGTATCATATGTATCATATTGGCTTTCCCCCTTGCGGTGGTTTCGGTTGCAATTTTCTTTTTTCAAAGGTTTTAGAAGTAACTTTTCTACTCGGTTCGGAGCCGTACATGGTTTATGATCAATCACGTTTTTATTTACGTGAAAAAACATGGTACATGGGATGGTGGAAGGCTGCATTCTCTTGCATTTTGTTATATTTGTTACATTTGTCACAGAGTGATAAATGCCCTATTAATTTTCATTTTTGTGGAAAGAGGTTGGGGAGTTGGCATGAACAACGAAAGGAGTTTGATCCTGGAAGCTATCAGGCTTCATGATGCGTCAAAGGAAAAGGGATTCTTTCAGGTTACGGGCAAAGAAAGAAGATGAAGCATGGGTCATGCAAATTATTTTGCCTCTGATGTTGAGGATGCAATTATGTTGGCTTTGCTGAGTTTTTCATGGTAGTTTCAGATACATAAATCATCATAGTTGTTAGATGGCGTATTCAGTTCAGTTTGTTTATGTGTATATTGCCTTACTGTAGTCTTTTGTCCCAAGTTCACATTTCGTCTCATCATTTCGTTTATTATTTCGTCTATTATTTCATCTCATCGTTTGATCTCATATGATTTGATTTCATTCATCCTCCATCTTGCCACAATCTCACATCAAGCTCTTTCTCATTCTATTATTCTCAGATTGTAATTATATAATTTCTTTCTGGGATTTGATTAAATGGATAGATGGATGAATGATAGATGAATAGATGGATGGATAGATGGATGAATGAATAGATGGATGAATGATGGATATAGATGATTGAACAGATGGATGGATAGATGGGATAGAAGTTTGATTATCATTTTTTCTGTTTAGGGCTTTGTTTATTTGCTTGTTTGATTGGTCTTATACTAGATTTGGTATGAGATTGGTTTTTGAAAGGGGGAAAGCAAAAATGTTATAAAAGACCAAAAAAAAACAGGAAAAGGAATAAAAAACCAAAAAAATTTGTTTGGGTTTGGGTTTGGGTTTGGGTTTGTCTTAATACTGAGTTGGTATGAATTTGTTTTGAAAGGGGGAAAGAAAAAAATTATTATAAAAGGCAAAAAAAAAACAGGAAAAGATTAAAGAACAAAAAAATGGAGTTGTTTAGGTTTGGGTTTGTCTTATACTTGGTTGGTATAGGATTGGGCGGATTGGGTTGATTTGGGGTCTGGTCTTGGATGACTAGATATGGCTTTGGAGGCGGAGCGAAGGCGTAAGGGGTTTGGAAAGAGATAGAGAAAAGGGGAAGGGGATAGAGAAAAGGGAAAAGGGAAAAGATTGTTTTGTTTATACATTTGATTGACTGATGGATTGGTGGATTGATTTCACTGGTTGATTGGCCGGTTGATATATTCGAGATTGTCCTGAAAGGAAAAAGGAGGTTGTATAAGGGGATTATAAGAAGGAGAAGAAGAGAAGAGAAGAAGACAAAAGAAAGATAAAAGAACCACTGTTCTTTAATTTGATAGATAATTGTTCCTTTGAGAAAAATTTAATTTTATACACTCTTTTAATATTGTTGACTCAATTATTTTTGTATATATAAAATCTAAGATGAGATGAAATGAGATGAAATGAGATGAAATGTTTTGTATTAAATATAACAAAGTTTAATATAAAAGATTATAAAAGTTATCTTTATTTTAATATTATGAAAGGTTTTTATTTAAAGAATAAATAGAATACTTCAATACCGTCTACTGTATTGTAATTATTGTATTATAATCATTATATTGTATAAATAATTATATATATATTATTATTTAAAACGATTATTATTATTAATTATTATTATATTATATTATACTAAAAAAAAGTTTCGATTATATTCATTATATAAGTATTATATATTCAAGATTATAGATATACTTGTAGATGTCTTTTATATATATTATTTTATATTATAATTGATTAATTGTTTTTTTATAAATGAATATATATATATATAAATTAATGAATGAATGAATGAATATTATTTGATAATATTAAATTTCAATTTCAATCTTCATCTCATCTCATCTTATCCCAGCCTGTCTCATGCTGAGTAAATGAAATATATAAAGTGTATAGAGTATGAAGTTGTGATTTGCTAGTGAACTGAGAGAACAGTCATAAGTCACAATATGGAAATTATAAAAAGAATATGGGTTTTATTTGGAGGATAGATTGTGTAGATAGATGGGTATTTGTTATTTTCTGTTCTTTTCTTTATTTTTTTCTGATTGCTAAGTATACTCGTCGTGCTCATCATGCTCATCATGCTCGTCGTGCTCGTCGTGCTCGTCGTGCTCATCCATTCATTCTCGACCCATATCCATCATGTTCATCATGTCCACGCTTATTTCGTATCCACAACGAAAATAGAAAGAAAACCAAAAGCCGCTCCTTCTCGCCTTCAAAGTCACATACGTCACTCGAATCAGACAGAAACTCGAGAATTACAATTAAGATCTATTGGGGTGCATTTTAACTAGTAACTGGCGATCGGCGAGCGTGAGCACTTGGTAGATGGTAGGTATGTAGGTATTCATACTACCAGAAAGTATAAAACATCTGTTTATATAGGTATAAATTTTCCAGAGAAAAACCTTAATATGATCAATAAAATCGATTGTTTTTTATTATTTCACTTTATTAATTGAGAATTTATTAATAATGATAGATTCAAATTCTTATTTATTATCAATTTATATCAAGATTTTTATTTTCTTTAATATTTAAAATGATTCTATCTATAAAATCTAAACCTATATAGGAAAGTGTTTTATATTTATTGGCTGCACGAGTAGATGGATAAATATTTTATTCGTACTTGGTGTTTGTTAGTAAACGAGCTACTACATGACTTAGTATATTACTTAATATAAGAGTTAGAATTAATTACTACATTGACAGATAACGGATGAAAATACCGGAATAGATACAACAAGGAACCTTGTGATAATCAAGACTCCAACTATCGAACTTTAGAACGATCTCCATAGTCTTAGCTCTTTAGGGACGGCTTGTGCGACTAACTTTTAAGCTTTGAGTCCCGATACTGGGCTTTCACGATTCTGGAATCGGAGTGGATATGTAACTGTATGCTATTTTAGACAGAGTGGATATAATTAGATAGTTTGCTTTTGTGCACAGGGCAGTGTTGTTAGTACATTGGGATTATTTTATCCCGTTGGCGAGGAGATCTCTAGATGCTTTATTGGGAGTGTGGATGTGAATGTGTTGATCTTGATTTGGGTTGGAATTTTTGGTGATGACGTGCTGATGATGGATGTACGGATGTACAGATGCATGGACGTATGGATGTATGGATGTATGGAGGATAGATGCACGGATGAGATTGTTGCTATCAATGTTACGGCGGTAGGTGTGGAGATAGTTGAAAGTTAATCAACTTCCTACGAGGATGGATGGATGGCTGGTAGTGGCGATATGAACTGGAAGTGATGAGATGGATGGAGATAAGTCTTACTCACTTACCGTAATACTTCCCGATGTATTAGTTGAATAGGTACCTCTTCATGCATGCATGTATGCATGCATACTAGCTTCCTCCTTTCCCCTCTTCTATAGACATTGATACAAACTCCAGAAATGGGTTGGGGCTTGGAAATGAGTGTTGTCCTACGGCGCATACGACTCGTGCATGATCTGGCGTTATATTTCCTCATTCGGAGAGAGGGGAATTACATAGGGATGGAGCTTGATATGATAATGGGCCAAGATATTGGAGGTTGGGGATTGTATAATGATGACTTCTCAATGGGAAAGAACTTTGATGAAGTCGTTTTGGGAAGGTACGCCAGCAAGGTCAGACCAAAATAATGATTTCCTCTTGCAATTTCTTGTATATTTCTTAGCTCTTCATTTCTTTTTCTTAGTTCATGGTGACTTTACTTTCTGTGGCTTTGGCCTATACGAAGGTTTAATTTTCAGTTACCATATTCAATGCTTTAAAGGACTCTCTCTGCATTGAACACAAGCAGGAGTAAAGATTAAATGGTTCTTTTTCCCCTTTGGGAAGCTACCGTATGTAGATATTGCATTGATCCAATTTAGCATTGTAGTTGTTGCTTGACCAGGTCCGAGTTTCCAGGGCTCGAGTAATATTCTACAATGAAAATGACTTGTCTTTCTCCCCAAGTATCCTGAAGGACAGCAACTGGCTTTTTCTGCCAGGCAATCACTCGTCAAGGTTGCCGTGTTGATGCCATTGATGTATGTTAGTACATAGGGACATCCCTTACTAATTATTACTTAGGTATTATCTGAGATTGTCATGATCTTTATTCAAGAAGCTCTCAAGTGGAGGAGTATTAATTATTTGGAAACGGTACTAGTCATAAATACTGTGCCATGGCCTGCGGAATCTCTCACAGAGCAAGTTGCTATTTATTGAGATCTGAAATAGTGTGGTGGATATCATGCTCAGCAGTGATCCGACAGTTTGATCTTTGCTTTCATCACCACCCGAATCAAGCATTTTTTTTATAGTTTACCGTTATTACCTTTTTGTATAATTAGTTGTCAATGAATTGTCTCACCGGGCTCTTCATCTAATAAAAAGTAATACTTATATCGGAAAGAAATCGGAAATACATAGGAGATAATCAAAGGTTACATCTTGAATATGTCTTTAAGATATGTAGTTTATGCAATAATCAGAAGTCAAAGTTGGCTGGAACTCTCTGGCCTGATTGAGATGATGCTTGAGCAGCCCAGATCAAACCTGCCAACTGATTTCAGAGGTGTTATAAGTATTTACAGGCTGAAGACCCTATAGCAGATATGCAACAAAAGAATTTGGAAGTGTACAGATGAAAGGCGATTGCTTAATTGATCTAATTCGGAGTCCAGTAAATGGGAATTTAAAGGAGAGATTAAAGGGAAAATGAGAAGTATCAAACATGAAATAAACCACCACTCATCAGCTGCCAGCACCTACCTTTGAAAATCATCATTACTCTCTTGCTCAAAGACATATCGCACATGCTTCTATTTAAGAAGAAGCGAAATATCAGCTCTTTATATCACCAACATTCCTTTTTATCCTAACAAGTTGTTGATATTGAAATTGACATTAGAAACCTGCTTTGATTACAGGACTTCATCAATATGGTAGTATCCTAATATTCTAGCAAAGAGTAAGAAAGATAATGATGAGGTCAAAAACCAGAACCATTTTCTCCTATCCCTAAGTCTAGTGCCCTACTTTCGGGCCACCCCCTTTTGGGGCCACCCTTTTACACCAAAAATCGTCATTTTTAACTATTTATAACTTCACAACCGGTCGATGGAATTTAATGAAATTTGAATCACAGATTTATTGTACATTTATTAATAGATTCTGAAAATTTTAATTTTTTCACGATTTTATTAGTTGAGATATTGAAAGTTGTAATTAAGATTTTCAGTTTGTTTTTGATAATTGAAAATTAGTTATTATTATTATTATAAGTTGAATAAGTTGAATTGAATGAATAAAGATAAATTGAGTGAATAAAGTTGAATTAAATGATTTAATAAAGTCGAGTTGAATGATTTCAATTGAATTGTGAATTGAGTTGAATTGAAAAAAGCTTTAAGTTAGATTTATCTGAGATTGTAAGACTTATATCAAGCTTTTTGTTTGATTATTTACCGGGGTATTTACCGGGGTATTTACCAGGGTATTTTAAACAAATCAGATTATCAGGATCGCGACTCACTTCTCGAAGGAGGTTAATCGATAATAAATAATAATTATTATAATAATAATATTATTTATATTAGTAGTGGAAGACTTAGTCGTGTTTAAGCTCAATAGGATAAAGTCGAATATAATCATAAATTGAAGTCAGAATAATAAAGTAGAGATTTTTATTGTTTTTTCTGTTTAGTTATTTTAAAGGTTTCTTTGAAGAAAACCTTTGTGTTTATAATATTTAATGTATTCTATGATTAATAATAAGATCAATTTGAATCGAATCTTATAAAATCATTTTATATAATAAAAGGAAATAATAATCAATAATATTCAATTTGATGGATAAGAAATTTCATACGCTTCTATTTCATTCTATTCTCTTATAAATCAATCTAATATGAATTATAATCGAATTTTCATATGATAATGAAATTCAATAATATATATGAATATTATTAATATATCATGTGATCATCCGATCATTGGTTCGGCTAATATTATTAAGTGATTTAATAACTTATTAGGAAATCACACATCACTTAAACGAGTTTCTCATTTTCTATCATTCATCAAGTAAACCTTATATACAACAAGGTTTTAATATCAAAAAGCCGACAATAATTATATTTTAATTAAAAAAATTAAAAATAGTAAAGTTTTATTCAAAATCAATAAATAAATTTTTTTATTAAAGTTTAAAAGAATTTGAATAAATTATATAAAAAGATTACAATTTTCAAATTAAAAAAATAAATTAATTTTCTAATTTTTGAAATTCTATTAGTTGAAATAAGAAATTTCAGATGAAATTGAAAATATGGTCAGGGTTATGGGGATTATTTAAATATTTTTTTTTTAAATATAATAAATTAATTCTAATTCTAATTATTATTTCATATTATTATATATTAATATTATATCAAATATTATATATATTTATATATATAAATATTATTAAAAATTATATTCTAATATAAAAATATATATATTTTACAAAAATTATTTATTTAAATCAAAAAGTATTTCTTTAAAACAATTTTAATTATTATATTATAATATTTTATTATTTATCAAATATAAACTAAAAATCTAATATCAATTATTATCAAAAATCCTAAATCTGAATTTCATTCTTCAATTTGATAAATCAAATTACAAATATTTCATATATTTTATAAATTTCTAAATAACCTTTTAAAAAAAGATTTAAATATTATTCAAATTACACATTTAAAATTTGAAATTGAAATGAATATTAATCTAATTGAAATTAAAAAATATTATATTAAAGAATTTAAAAAGATTGATAGAAATATAATGAATTATTTGACTAAAGCTAGCGATATTGATGGAAGAGAGGTGAAAGCGTTTCCTCAACAAACGACCTTTACAACCGCTTTTGCAACGGAGAAAGACTTATCATCAGCGCCACAGTCTGCTGAAGTTGATACCTCTATCATTGGAGCGTTTAATACACTGAAACGCAAACCAGAGACAAGAGGCCAAGGTCCGTATTATCTCTCCAGTATCGCTTACTTGTTTAAGAAACTACAGAACTCCCATTTCTCTCACATGACGACAACACAGAGGGAAAATCTGACGAGAGTGACTTGGAGACTGTATTTGGAGAACTTCCATTCAAAAGGCCAAGATCCAGATCTTCTACATGTAGCCCAGGTATGTACAAGTGCACAATACGTTCTGGAAGCTTGGGAGTAACATCTATCTAGAATCGTCTATTAATTTGAATATTGCCGATGCGACTTTGGCCAAGCCTCTTGCATATCACGACACCAATCACGAGTCCTCGAAAGCGATTGTAGTGCTTCCAAAATTATTGATATCTACCATGATGAAGAAAACGAGGCGGAATTCTGTGATTCCTCTGCATGGTATCGCTTCGGGCCAATTATAAAGAACACCTCTCAATGTTCACGCTACGTCGCGCAAGTTTTGGATACTCAACGCGTCCGTGAGTTTCACAATATTATCGGAAAAGAGGATATTGATGGCGAGGTGCATTACCTGGTAGATTGGACCCCAACTTTGATACGAGGTATTGTATTAAAAAAGGCGCAAGCCCAGCCACTTATAGATCGATTCGAAAATCGGGACCAGCTACCATCTACGACTCGTTGCAGTCTAAATGCGAACCAAACCACAGGTGTCAAGCCTTTACAACAGGTTGTGATCAAACCAAACATGCAAGTTGGTACTCGAAATCCACGTGCTGGTTCGTCCGACGATCCAACGGCCTCCAGAAGAGACACAGCAGAAAAGATGCTAAGAAGGACTACAAATCCTATTAGGACTCTGAAAGTGAATGATAGGAGAAAGCTTAAAATAGTTAAAGGTCAACCGGAAGTCAGCAAGAAACTCCCGACAGCTATAAGCTCGCGTGGAAGGGCCCTGAAGCCTAGGAAGATATTTGATTCAGGTGTTAATAAGTTTTAGATACAAATAAAAGAAATCGTGGTGTTGCCCCCCACCTGGGGTTTAGTGGTCGCCGCATCAGGCAAGGTGCATGGGTGAAGTTGGAGGTAAAGATAGGGAAGGAGGGGAAAGGTGATGGTGAAGGAGAGAGTGAAGGGGTGAGGGAGAGTTGTAGTTGGAGAGTGGGAAGGGTGAGGGTGAGAGTGAGGAAGAGGGTGTGAGTGTCAGAACAGGGAAAATTCGGAAGCATAAAGTTATCTATTCAAAGCTACTCTGTATTCCCGACTCCATCGTTCTATGAAGTTTGACGTTAGTTTTGTTTGTTGGAGGGAATGAGTCGCCAGACATAACTCGCCGGGTATAACCAACAGACTTACATGGGGCAAGGTGGGAAGTTTCTGCTTCATTGTACTTGAATTTGGAGGGGGATAGACTTTCTCGAGTAACCGTCTACCTTGCTCAAATTCCAACATCACATGTATCTTGCGAGGTTCACCTTCTCCGTATGTCATATCTACTGTAAACCATGAGGTCCTATGTTGCTTATGTCTGATATTGTCTATGCAAGCATTGAAAAGGAATTCACCGTAAAAGTTCCGCCTATCGTCGTTTGAGAGAGTGCGTTTCGCAACATTTGCTATATGATACGGTACACAGATCTCCGGCTGCATATCATGACCCTGTTCAGAAGCTAGCTCGAAACGCACAGCCTTCGTCCATCTCGTATCAATGTCGCTTGAAGACCCACGATGAACCGTGAGAACAGCTTCGTACATTTTGGGAGTAAAAAATTCTGAAAGTTCATGCAAGCTTGCCAATTCAAGGACCCAAAACTGTGGTAGGTCCGAAAGGGAAACACGGCTTGATTTGTTGTGCAACAACTGAGAATGGTGCAAAGTCTGAATCATTACGGGCCCAGGCGAAGTGAGCCAGGTCGTGCTGGACGACACGGTAATGGAGGACAGAATTGCGGAAGATCTGGTGGTTGGTGACAGGGGTGTAGATGCTCAAGGAACAGACATGCGATTTTGCTGTGCGGTGGAAGCGGATTTGATCTCATTATCGAATAACATCGAAGGACGGTTCAGCAGGTGATCGATCAGATGATCGCCTAGATCTTGAAATTCTCTGGCGATTTCGACGATACCTTTGCCACGTAATATATGCATCGCATTCTCAAAATGATGTCCTTTCAAGGGGTAGCTTGGTCTCCCATCTACGAACTTCGTTAGAAGGGCAACGTCACTGGTAACTTGACCCCTTCGAGACTTACATGGAATGATGAATGTCGCTCCTAAGAAGAAACAAACTCCCACGCCAAGCTGGCTAATGATGTTTTCGTATCTTGCACCATCATGGATGATAATCTTCACTGCGGCGAGATACTGATGAAAGCTTGAATCGTCCGAAGTATGATTGTTTCCGCATTCTCATTAGATGGTCGACGCTCGCGTTCACGAAGACGACCTAGCGCAATGCAATAGAACCTAATCATCACAATCAGGTTGCGACCATCAAAAGTTGCTGAAGAAAAATATTTGTGGACGCCGTATGCACATAGATACTACTAGTATTGGACCGGTCAGTTACTGCAATAGGTACTCGGCGCTCGACGACATTGGAGTGGCATGACCGTTATTGTGCTGCCAAGACGCACAATGCAGTGGGGATCAAGCTGGATATATCCACACGAGTATATCTCCCTATTCTGTTGACTGGCCTGTCTATCATCCTATATACAGGAGATGTACCTAGGTACGAGTATAGTAGAATCTAATTATAAGAGATTATATTATAAAGGAAAATTTTTATAAAAAATAAAATTTAAATTTAAAATTGATTATACAAATTCTACGAGGGGCCTGCGCCCCCCAGACCCCTGGCTTTTTGAGAAAGTCTAAAAATTTTATAATAAATTTAAATATTAAATATATATTAGGGTGCAGACAGAATATCGGCTTGTTTTTGATAATTGAAAATTAAAATTTTTTTAAAAAAAAATAATAAGTTGAATTGAATGATTTCAGAGTTGAATGATTTTAATAGAGTTGAATGATTTTAAACCAATCAGATTGTCAGGATCGCAACTCACTTAAACGAGTTTCTCATTTTCCATCACCCACCGGGTAAACCTCGCGTACAGCAAGGTTATAGTGTCGGCAAGCCGACAATAAATATTTTAAAATCTTAAATGAATATAAGGGATTCGATTGATCAAATTTTTCAGCTTTTTATAATCAGGGTTCTATCAACCTCTCTAAGCAAGAGTGGACGTCCACTTTGAGATAAGATCCGCTGGGCGGTCGGCTTTTAAGCTGTTATGGCTTAGAGGGTAACTCCGGCGTCTATGGGATGTAGTAGGAATGATTGAAGAAGAATGCATCTCGGTGATTTTCAGTACAATGTTCCATTCGATACCTAGGTATCTAAATTGACATCCCGCTTTTGCACCAGACCGCAACATCGCAGAACCAGATACTTCAAGTTAAATTGACATGGCTCCCTCTTCGGACAAACTAGATGCTCCATCGGGAAGGAGCCTACGCTTACGAGCTGGCAATCATATTCAAACTGCCTCCATCGTTCAGAATTCAGCAGCACATCGAGAAGATCGCTCCCATACCCCTCAACCGCGACAGCGACACGCAGACTCAAGAAAGAGACCTGAAGAGGATCAACCCGACCCACCTCGAAAGCGACAACGACGCGAGACCTCAAGGAAGAATCCTCGAGAGGACAACCCCAATCCGCCTCAACCACAACAGCGACACGCAGACTCAAGAAAGAGACCTCGAGAGAATAACCTCAATCCGACAGAACTATCACGCGAACGGCGTCAGTCCTTGTCTCAAAGTCGTGAAGCTCTCAACTCAAAAGTGGCCATCCCTCACAACACCTTGAATATCATAAAGTGGACAGGGAGAGTTGCAGAAGAGACAGGTACGGTGCAGTATCAAGCGGAAGATTTCGACTATGAATGTGTGAACAGTATAGATGAATCGTCCAAGGGAAAGAAAACTTCACGGAAGCGTTCCGCGTCCACTTTCACAAACAACGAGATCGGTTACGACCATGCCAAATATCCCGCTCTTCTTGAAGAGCAAGGAGCCTACATGGAGGACTATACCGGCGACCTTTCGGAAGATATTAAGGAGTTTAATGCCAACATCTCCCGAGACCTGCGTATGCATAAGCAGCCAATACCTCCAGATACTCTATTTGACGACAAGTATTACAAGAAGCTTATACATTCGATCAAAAACTACAGCGAGGCGGCGCTTATTAGTGTGATCTCACCAATGATGATGCCTACGATACTGGATTTGGCTCTTCGAGATGCAAAGTACAGGCCCTTTGTTCAGAGTGTTTCCGATCAATGGGGAGCCTGTAAAAGGCTTCATTCCTTCAAACCTCCCCAACCAGACTCGGCTGTAGGGTTCAAAAAATCAGCATTTACAGATGAGCAACTCGAGAAACTTCAGCTCTCAGGTATGCTCGGAGATTTGAACCGCACGTCCTCTTGCAAAGGCACATACTATATGTTCTTCCCATTCATTACATGCGAAGTGAAATGTTCAAGCAATGCGACTGAGATTGCAGATCGGCAGAATGCTCATAGCCACACTGTCGCTTTACGAGCTCTAGTAGAACTGTACAGACTTTCTAACAGAGAACAAGAACTTCATGGAAGAATCTTAACCTACTCTATGTCTTACAACAACTCCCATGTCAGTTTGTACGGTCATATGCCGATACTCGTTAAAGAGAAAGGTACTATAGAATGTTATATGCAATTAATTCGTGGTTTCGATCTCAGGGACAACGGAGGTGAGAACAGATGGATATGCCGTCAATTCTATCTCAATGCCTTAGATAAAGGTCTTGAGCTTCTGAACAACATTCGGGCTTTGATCGATACCTGGACACCAACTCAGAGTCAACTTGCAGCTCTGATTCAAGCACAAGCTTCCAGTCAGGAATCTGCATCTCAATACAGATCTGAGACAGCATCTACATCTCTGTACAGATCTGAGGTAGCATCTTCAAGAGGCCATTCAGGCCTTTCGCAGCAGTTTGACAACCAGATTTTATCAGATGACGAGCTAGCCATTACGAATTGGCCACAACTAACACCGGACACATCTGCGACTTCACCTTCGAAAAAACCAAAGTCATCATCGTCCGCAAGTAAGAAAGGCGCTTCAAACAATTTGATAAAGGGCATATCTAAGCATTCATTATAAATGATATTCACGATCCTTTCAAGGTTCCTCTAACACATCTAGAGTACGGCGAGGACTATGAGGAGACTTACTTATGGGAAGCAGTAGCAACCGTTTTCCATAGTATTTTTAGTATTCATGAAGTGTTTGTTCTTCTCCATGCTACAACCACGTTATGGCGAGTGAATTTCCTGATTGTATGCAATCTAGAGAATATCGGATATGAGACAACGTACCTTACCTGAATACAGTGCCTTGAACGTGTGAAGGGATCCTAGTGGGGTTTACCTATTATAGGTATAGTAGAACCTGATTATAAGGGATTGAAAAATTTAATCAGTTGAATCCTTTATAAAAAGTAATTTTTTATATTCATTTAAAGTTTCAAAACATTCATAAAATTTATATAATTAATTTTAAATTTGAATTTTATTTTAGATTTAATTTATTAAATAATTATTAAATAAACTTAAGAAATTTATTTTATATTAAAATTTATTTTAAAATAAAATTTGTAAAGTAATTATTATATTTATTAAATAAGTTATAAAAGTAAATTAATAAATCAAAATTTTTAAAATCTATTATTAATTATATAATAAATCTGTGATTTAAATTTTATTAAATTTTATCAATTGATTAAAAAGTTATTAATATATGAAAATCACGATTTTTGATATAAAAAGGTGGCGGAAATTAAAGATGACGGAAAGTAAAATAATAGACTTACTTCACTTCACTCACTTCACTCATTTTATTACTTCATCCACATATACATATAAATCTCAAATAACATCTCATTTCACTCAACATCTTCTACTTATAATCATAACCATAGCCATAACCATAACTATAACTATATTCACAATCACATCATTCATCACAATACTATCCACCAGCACAATATACATCATATCAAAAACATCATGTCATATGAAATCAAGTATATAGTATTTGCATAAAGTACGCCCGCCACCAGTATCCATCCGAACCATCAACTCCCCCTTCCATCCATCCATCCATCCATCTTATCCACCCATCCATTCCACAACCATACCACGAGTAACAGATCCAAGTCCCAACTTCCAAGACCTAATTCCATCCCATTCCATCCCACACACACCATACCATATCATCCAATATATTTCAACAAGCACATATAATTTTCCCCATCTATTTATATCCTACCCTATCCTACCATACCCAACCCTAGCCTATCCCCAATCCAATCCATCCAATACCATTGTCCCCACCATATAAAAATATTTCTTCCAACTACCATGTATAATCACCAAGTAATCCTTACATTCAACCCCTATGTCCTGATGTCCAGTGCCGGCCCTTCCACAGAATAATATGATATGATATATTGAAGTAGGTATATTCTCTCCCTCCACGTTGTAAAACATCCAAGCAACAAAGCAAGCAATCAAACGTATTAAGCTTGCATAATAGTGCAGTATAGAACCTCAAAAATATCAAGGCAAAAAAGCAAGTAGAACCAGCGCATCTTCTGAAAAGACAATAAATAGTACGATCGATAGGTATCCTTTCCATATTCTTTCTTATCAAAAGATAAACAATGCAAAATATGCAATAACAAGTATGAATAGAGCAAACTTTCTCTTCTGTTATCCATGAATCTTTCCCATAAGTCCCTGGTCCCAAGATGATATCAAATACCCGTAGCTGTTCAAGAAAAATAATAAATATCTGAAAAAATAACACATTCATATCCATATTCATTCACAGTAAATCCGCCGTAGCCAATCCTGGCTTGTATATGCATGCCTCCATGCAAAAGTAAAACAGACCAAACCCGCCTTCTAACACCTCAAGAAAATGATCCGAAGAGGTAGACGATACAATTAAGAAATATTCACCGTTTATGCCCGTCCAGTACCCAATTGCCTTTCCGGACCCAATACCGTCACGCCCTTTAATAATGCTTTTTGTATATGACGTGAAGTGGAAGAGAATGTTCGGCGGAGGAAAATGATAAGTCTAAACGCCGCTAATAACGACTTCAGGGCAAGACTTTTCGCTAACAGCAACGGCCGTCTTGTCTGAGGATGCACTATCTGTAGGATCTTCAATTGTACTGACGTTCGCACTAGGAAGGCTGCTGCTTTGGGGACTGTTTTGCCCATTCGTGAGCAGCGGAGTTGGGGCACTTGAATTCATCTCCATCGATTGTGTATGAGCACCAGATGCCGTACCAGTTGGAGATGCGGCATATGATTGCTGCGAGTCATCTTGACCGTAGATTAACTTTTCAATGGCAGCAATTTGTTTGCCATAATTATATTTCTTGAGAGCCAGGAGTTGTGGCTTCAGGTCTTCAACAAACGCTGCTCTTTCGGCACCTTTGAGTTGCCCGAGAAGTTTTTCTACCAGGGTTAGTATAATATAAGCAAACTGAGAATAAATTGACTTACGAATGACATAATTGCCATATTGATCCTTCATCATCAATTGCAAAGGGCTTGTACCATCACTATGAAGAGCGGTTAATAGAGAAACGATAGTATGTCTTTGTTCATCTGTGCCGAATTGTATACTCTTCTCCACAACATTTGAGGCAAACTTGTGCTTGGATAGAGTCAAAAGCTGTGCTGTGACGATCTTGATAATCTTGGCACGATCCTCAGGCTTTCCATGTTGTATGACATGTTGAGTAACATAATTCCCGTATTGGTCGGTGATCAAATTCGATGCACATTGATGCAGTTCCTCTAGTACTCGTTCTTGATCGCGAGGTTGACAGTATTCCAAAATTCGTTGAATTACTCGGCATCCATAAGGATGAGTTGCGAGAATATGAACCTGTCCTCGGAATGCTTCGATAATAAACTGAATATGTTCCGTTGGAACACGCTCGATAGCCTTTTGGACAACGTGGTTGCCATTCTGATCTTTGACACACTTAAGCACGTCTGCCTCGAGTTCCTTGACAAGTTCAGCTTGCTGATCGGCGAGTACATGCTCGAGAGCCTAATAGTGTTAGTAAAGGTTATGTATAATGTGGAGGCCAAGACAAACCTTTTGCACAACTCTGCAGCCATACATCTGCATTGAAAGTTCCACTACATGGTTCTTCATTTGCTCAGCTAGCACACGTTTTTGAACCTGGTTCCCGTGCTCAAACAACTTTTGGATAACATAGTTTCCGAAGACGTCGGTCATTAACTGTAACGCATTGGGTTGAATCTCTCGGAAAAGTTGCTCTTTTTCATCACTATTAGCTGTTTCCAACTTTTGCTGAATGAAACGTGACCCATGCTGATCTCCACTGAATTCAACGACATGTTGATAGATATCCTATTCTTGATTAGTGCTGATAGAAGAGGTGAGACAGAACAATACATACCTTCAACTCATACCTCTTGTTGGATTTGGCATTGGAACGGAATTCTTCCAGAAGTACGCTCCTAACTCCAAGTCCCACATCCTGATCCTTGGCTGGACGAGTAGGGATACTTTGTGCCGGATAAGGAGGGATTGGCATTGGATAACCATATGGTGGTACGTTTGCTTGCCTAAAGGTTTGTGGTGAGTAGTCGTATAAATGTGGTGGATATTGCCCCTGGAAATGACCGCCGTTGTAAAGATATGCCTGGTGTTGAGAATATTGGACATGTTGAAGTCTGCGGTCTAATTCGCTCGGGCCTTGAGGTATTCTAGGGCCAGCCCGTGAGCTTGGTCGGTAAATTTGCTCAGACCCTGTTGGAGGAGTCCCGGAGAAGTATTTTGGACTATTGAGGCCACGACGGTAGTCGCTTGATGCAGGAGAGACCGAACCTCTATCAAATCTAGGTCCTTTCGTGAAATAGGCTTGATCTGTGAAAGGTGCTTGATTCGAGAAATGGTCGTAATTATTGACTTTGGGACCAGCTGATCCATCATTCCACATGGCTGATCCTCCGTTGACTTGGAAAGCCTGCTGATTAAAGTTTTGGTTGGTTGGGGAATATGAGGAACCCAAAGCGTTGCCAATCTGAGATGCGCCAGTTTGATCCATATCGTTGGTGAAGCCAAATCCTGCAAACTTCTCCCGTAGCTCGGCTTCTGTTTGCGTAGTAAGATCAGCATATCTGGATGAATTCGTTTGTGCAAACGAGCCTGACATTGCTGAGAAAGACGGACGATGTGAGTGGATTGAATTGTTGGGAGTATGACCACCAATAGAGCCATGCGTTGGATTTCCATTGCCGAATGTCAGATTATTGAGGCCACTCTCCGATGCTCTGGATGGAGGCATGCTTCCATCCCTTGCAAGGGGGCCTATACTAAGGTAGCTTGGATTCTGAGAGCTTAGTTGATCCATTCTGAAGGTCCTGGATGATACATCAATATCATATGCAGTCTCTTGGTTAGACGAAAATTGGGAAGAATTCTCCTTGTCGTCATTGAACCCAAAGGAAGGTTTTCGTGAGAATTTGAAGCTTCCAGAAGAGGGGTCCAAGCTACTCTTGGGTTGCTGCCGGCTGAAACTGGTTCCTTGACCAATAGCAGGTCTTGATTGTTGGTATGTTTGCAACTCAAGTAGACTTTGTGGTGTCTGTGACGAAATACTGTTGCGGAGGTGAGAAGGAGAGGTACTTCCGCTATGCGATGATTGCAACGTTGGAGATGTTGTGTCTGGAGGATTCCAAGGCCCACTTGCGCGAGCAACCCAAGGGTCGGCTTCTGAAGATGCGGCTAGAGCACCAGAACCACTGGGAGCATCTGGAAAGCCATCATTATCTGCTGCTAGACGACCATCAGTGAATGTAAAGATTTCCATCTCGCTTGTATAAATACCTCGAGAGCGCGAGGCATCTCGCTTTGTATTGGCAAAACCACTCCCGATCGTGTTATTACCCCAAATACCCGTCGAAGGCTGCCAGGTACCGCCGTTTCCAAAAGTTTGGCCAAGCGTTGAGTTTTGCGAAGTTCTGTCATCGCTATTGTGCCTGCCTGATGCAGTGGGGAAATCTCCGAATCGAGTAGACCGTTGCTACATTCAAAAATTAGTTTCAATTCAATCTTGGGAAGTTCGGGCGTGCTCACCGCATTCATGGTACCTGCGGGTCTGTTGGCAGCGGCCGACGACATTATTGAAGATGTAATGAAATTTCTGTATGTATGTGGAAACTTCTGGTCGAGGGAAAAGAACAAGACGAAAAGATGTTGAAAGTAGCCGATATTTCTGATGGCAGATTACTTGAACCAAGGAGTAGACTTTCTACGAAGTATTTGACAGGTTGTAGATCTATATGACTGTGGAAATCCGCAAGTGTCAGCATATGCCGTGTGGTAAGGCTGATGGCAGGGCGCCCGATTTAAGCTGAGTTGCTGGGACAAATCTTACCAGTGCAAGAAGTCGGAATATGTAATCGACGGTTGGTGAAAGCTCATTTACAAAAGAAGGATGTGCGGAAAGTTGGAGTTCAAGAGGAATCGAGCATCGAGGGAGGGGAGGGAGGGATATGTTGAAGTATGAAGGGTAGGGCAAAGGTCGCGCGACACAACCCCTTCGTTTGTCATATGCAACGTCAAAGAAGCGCGCTTTTCTGTAGAGAGGTAGGCACCCGCGCAGCAGTGGCCAGAATGAAATAATTTAGCTGTAAATTGCCTTTTATTTTTCCTTTTCCCTTGTGTGATTTGTCTTGCTTTGATCGAGTCAATATGACCCTTTTGGGGTTGGGAATCCGTTGGTTTTGGCGCGGGAGATGCGCCTGGGGAAGCAAGGGGAAAAGTCGTCAGGAACGTAAAGTTTTCGGTGGATTTTTTTGGTGGAGAATCGATTCGAGGGTCCGGATTGCGGTTTGTGGTAGGGAACCAGCGGTTAGTCCCTGTTCCACTACGCCGATGATCAAGGGAAAGGAAGATAAATAGGTTGCACTGGCGAAATCGATTTCCTGTTTGTTGTATCGCGGTATTGCAGTATTGCAGTACGGATAGTATGGCAAGCTATGGCAATACACTTCTCGAGGTATCTATCTCTTTGGGGGCGTAGGTCAAGCAGGGATTGTGGGGGAAGGTTCGTAATGTTGGTAGGGCAGAGAAAACAAACGAGAGGCGAGAGAGAATTAAGCCAGATAAAATAAGGTAAGGTAAGGTGAGGTAAGGTAAGGAAGGTATCGTATTGTAATGTATTGTATTGTATTGTATTCCCGATTCCTGTCTGGGATGAATAAATAAGGTCGGATGTTTTTTATTTCTTTATTTATTTTTGGAGAGGGGGCGTGGGGGAAGATTGTATCCAAAAGGAAAACAGAAGAAGGAATTTTCACCGAGAATTCAGAACAAAGTCGCGACTTGAAAAGAATGAGAATGAGAATGAGAATGAGAATGAGAGTGCAAGTGAGAAGAGAAGAGAAGAGAAGAGAAGACAAGAGAGGAGAAGAGCTGTAAAGATTCGTTTAAGACGGATTATAATTATGATTATTCAATAAGATCGATGCGCACATTTTGCTCTTTACTCTCCTCTGTAACCTTGAACCTCTTTTTATTTCTATTTCTATGGGTAACAGATCCAATTGGATGGGATTTATCTGAGTATGGGGATGAGGCCCCATGAGGTGAGGGAGGGGTTTTTCCTAAAGCTGGGACTTCCAACTTGTGAAGTTCGGACTGGCTCGTTGACAATTAATATGCTGCACTGCGTAGACCATGATTGATCGATGAGTGAGAAAAGGGAGAATTTCTGAAAGGATCGAATTCGTATTACACGCAGGCCAAGGTGGCTTTTTCTGTTGCATTTTACCTTTGCTGCGAAACTAATGATTGTTTGATTCTCCTAGCTATCCCTCGATAATACTCCACCACTCCACCACTCCACGCCATATACTCTGTATGGAATACTCGGTCTATATAGAGTATATCCTCTTATTTGTCTCATTCTTATCATCACTCATTCATGTCTTTCACACCTCTCCATAAAGACATCAATTCCTCACACTCATAACATATCCAGTTGAAGTTTGACATATGCCATTCATTAACTGAGACTTCTAATGGAACCATTAACCAGCCTCTACTATCAATCAAGTCCGTCAAAAATCGTATTCGGTGATATAGCGACTTTTACGCGATAATATGGATAAAGTATTCTACACGGAATAATCCTTTACTCGGTGAAGCCATGCGGTTGTTTCAAAAAACTATAACTATTGAAGCAGCGCATCTACCAGAATTACTACATCGATCCAGATTGTGTTCGATGCATGCCATCTCTTACTTTGCATGCCCCAAACCAATTATTATGGACCGCAAAAGCACAGACATGAGTGATCTGATCTATGGCCCTTGAAAGTCGTTGTTTGAGATCTGATAGGGACGGAGTATTTTTTTAGCCTTTACAGTGGTCCCAATTTCTGAAGGTTTTAGACCTTCCGGTTTGTTCAAGCTTCCCTAGGGAACTCCCCCAGTTCCGGATCCCGTACCATGGCAGTGTGTACAATGCCATTCGCCCATTGTGGTTATTGTAAATCAGTTTCTGGGAGAACTGTATCTATCTAGCCTCATCTTTTTCCTTCTGAAATGCTTTTCCATGATTGATTAGGAATCGGAGGAAGCAAAGATACACTTTTAAAGGGAGCAACTTCTAAAGATCGGTAGATCTCAGACAAGGCTAGAAAACCCCTTCATTGCTGTACTCGTGTTTTCATCGTAACTCATCATTACCCAACATTCTAAATATTTTTCTTGGAATGCAATCAATCGATCATATGCATCCTTATCTGTACATCATTCCCAATGATCTCTTTTCCATCCCTCTCCTCCCTCTGATTTTGTCAATTCCTGGGGCTGGTTAATTATTGGGCTTTCCAAGGAATGCAACTGAAAATGTCAGCTAATTATGTATTCGCCGACCGCCTCAATCTGGCCAAATCCGGTAGGAATTCATCCAATTTACAAGCACTCAGCACAACGCCATAAGTTATTCAGGTCGCCTCAATCATTCGTTATAACCTTCCAGCAAGCTATGATCTGCAAAGCTTCAGTAAGCCTCATTTACTCAGATGAGGAGACATCATCAGCATGAAGTTTATTTTTTGGGGGGATTTTCACCGACTTGAATAGGCTGGTAGCTGCTGTATCTTCTGCAATATTCTATACCACTCAATGGCGATTCGCCGAAAAGAATACATTACGCTGATGTTTCATCCGGGGAACACACTTGACGCCATCACTCCGCATGAAATCGGGTGTCATCATTACTATGCAATACATAGATCCAGCTTGGGCGTTCATTGACCAGTCTATTGTTCTTTCTCACCCCGTCTCAGAGAAGCAACCATTCTTGTGCTCACCATCACAAGCATCATGGCTTAAGATTCTTGCAAAGACACACGATGATATCAGATATCTACTACAAGATCTATTTCCAGAAGATCAGCGGTTTGGTTTCGCAATCCAACTCTAACACGCTAATGTTGCTCGAGGTCCAACAACGGGAAGTAGCATGAGTACATAACACAGACACCAGTATATTGATAGATGTACCGTGGCACTTGATTGCTTCGCATGACAATGATTGCCAACGATGAATCTACTCGCTCGTGGCGTTCATGGGCGACGTAAGAATAACCTCTCTCAAGGCTTGAAGCCTTGATGTCGCTGTTTCGGGCAAGCTTCCCTATATGGGGGTCATCAACCAACGAATAAATTTTCTCATCACCAAGACTAGTGGTTATAGGCCCTTTCTGCGGGTACGTCGCCTTCTTGCATATTTCAAAGCTTTTCCTTTCATCATCTTGAGGAATATCATCAGCCACGTCGAAACAGCATTAGGTGCATTCTGCAGATCTATGTATCCCCATCCAACAAATCTGTTCCATTCAACTGGTCCTTCCGCCATGGATACCGAAGTCGTAAGAGATCAGATATTTCATCTGCATCACCGTTTGCTAGCTTCGGGTCTGGTCTGTGTAAGAAAAGAGCAAGGAAGAAACTTTGTGATATGGATACATTGGCGATCAGACCATGTATGGACATACAATCACACGCTAGAAGGTCTCTAGAGATGAGTCCTTTAGGTATGAAAAGTGACATGTATGCGCCACCTAGGACATACGCCATAGACACTATGTTCCTAATTTTCCAGCTTTTCTGTCGTTCACCGCTCTTTACTGAAAAGTGAGGCCAACGTCCGGGCTTCCTTGGATTTTTGCTTTTTTTTTTTTCATCCGATGAGTCTGAGGTTACACCACATAGATGTGCGTCGGGAATCGAGAGCCTCGTGTGGACACGTGACTATTCGATATCCAGGTTATCAATCAATGACTTGCATGATTGCATGTCGTGTTCATCATTAGTTACACCAAAGGACAGAAAGTCTGAGGCCAAAGCCGAGGCCTGCAAAGGCTTGTCAATACATATGGATTATTAAAAAGCAAAGACTTGGAGCGACAGGAAGAGGAAGCTTTCAACTTGAGAAAATCCAGCGTTAATGGAAACATAATACATACCATAGCCGGAAAACTCCGATGTTTAATGATTTCGAAGAATCGCTTTCATGATGCCGGAACCCCCTTATTTGATATACTTGGAGAAATTCGATACCAAGGAATTCCCGCCGGTCGGAATTCGGAAACGAGATATATACTTTGAGCGGCTCGATTCCAAGCCAATGGGATCTTCGGTCGGGTCCCCTAAAACGCTAGATCCGGAAGCCTTCAATGTCAAAACGGGAAGCTAAAGTAAGATGAAATAATGGAAAGTTTCTACAACTATAGCTACAATGGAAATGATCGATTGATCGGCCACGATAGTTGGAACATCCTACGTAGGTATCTATTTTTGTATTCCTTCAGCCTTCCACTGTGACGATACTTTAGCAATACGAAGAGTTTGAACAGTCAAGATCCGAAGTTCGATTTTTGCTCCTTTATTAGTGTTACGTATATTACGAAATGCACCCAACGAGCATACGCCGGGTATAGCGAGATACTAATTCTCCAACATCTTCTCTGCATGATTTTACACTTCTTTCTTCACACAACTGATGGGTCATCTACGCGCGCACGATTAATTATTTTCCTTACAATCAGCCTCGAAGTCTAATCGCTACCATTGGAGAAACAAGCAAAGAATTTCACGGCTTCCACGGCTTTCATGGCTTTCATGGCTTTTCATGGCTTCTGCACTCCGACGATATCATCCGTGCTCTCCCCAGTAATTGGCCAATTGATACGGCACAAACCCCAGGAAAAAGGTCAACTCGCGCCTTGGGGTTGCAGTAAGGAGAGAAAGTTTCGTAATTCCAAAAGCTTCCAATAAAAGAACGATGAAGATCCTCATCTGCGATGTTTGATGAAAGGTCGGTTTTGTTTTCTTGGAGGTTTTACTATTTAAGCATATTTCATTTCCTCCCAATTGGACAGTTCATAAGGAAGGAGGGGGGTTAAATTTGGCGACAATGGAATCTCCGCTTTTGACGGGACGGAAAACATCATTGAACCTTGAATAATGATGTTATTGAGCTCGACGCATGCCATATGGATGGATACACATAATAATGCCATTGATGCGATAACTCGGATGAACGACACATCTCGTGAATGCAGATTTTCATCATGACAGAATGCAGATAAAGGTATGTTCGGCATTATCTCACTAATTAATTACATACAGTAGGTATTCATAAGTACGAGAAGAGGTACACATGGAGTTATGTTGCAGTGGCAGTTGCATTCACATTATTCATCCATCCCACTCACGGCCATCCTACATACAGTGCGGGAATTGGAATTTATGCATATCGCTTCACTGCATCAATGATTAATAACCATTCAATCGACCTTTTGATAGTCGCCAACAAGAATAACAACAACATGATCATTAAAACCGCGCTGACAATGGGAAAATGCATCTCTCTCCTATCAATCGTCTCCAACACTGCACAAATCCATAAAGAGTAAACAAATAACCGCTCACGAGCTACTTGGATGCCCGAATCGGGATAAGAAACGGGGGTCTTTTCCAATAGCTACACGCTTTGAGAGATCTATCGGCGGTTCGAGATTATTGGAATATCGATAGAAGCAAAGTGTGGGTGAGATGAGCATTATTGAGATACATAATCATGAGCATAGAATTATCGGAGCTTGTCTTTTTATCTTTCTGGGAGCTTCATTATTACCTTCTAGGATGGATTAAACGATTAAACGATTAAACTACCGGAAGTTGAGATTGTTAAGGAGAAGAATCATCGTCTTACTAATAAATGAATCTATTCATAGAAACATACATTACACACTTTCTTCGTACTCAGGAATGAGCTCCATAATTAGCTACAGTCCAGTCAGTCAGTCAGTCGGTCTAGTCTAACTTCGGAAGTTTGACCTTCTCAATGGAAATGGAATTCTCTAGATTTGATGAATGTATAAATTATGAACGATGCTGAATGAGAAAAAGAGGGCAGTGAAAAGGAAGCAAGATTTCCAGAACTTCTTCCTAGTTCCTACGGAGGTCCTGACTCCCCACCCATCCATTCATCCTATCCCATCCATCCACCCTATCCCATCCCATCCCATCCCATCCCATCCAGGAACAAATACGGACAAAGTGGGAAACGCTCATTTTAAAATGCGTACCTGTTGTCAGGTACCATGCACGTTGTGTTTGGTGGAGCATGGATAGATCATAGATAGATGGGTGGGTGGAGGCACATGCAACCTTAAGATTTCTTAACGAGAATCATTTGATGATTTCATTGGTCGCAGAAGGTTTAATGTAATGTTACTCTGGCGTCCCTTTTTCTCCATAATTGACCAATGGCTCCATGGGCGCTCGTTCAATCAATCAGCGATCCAGAATAAGATGTTTCGACCGTTTTTTGTTCGTAGGGAATTACGAACTACAGACAGCGGAAAAGGGTTCGAGACTAGGAGTTAAGTCGGCCTTTGTGAGTGGATGGCTTGGATGGGTGGATTAGATGGGTGGATTAGGTGAGTGGATGGGGCGAGTGGATGGAGTGGATGGAGTGGATGGAAGTGGATGGAAGTGGATCTTTTCAACGCAGGTACGAACTGCAGATGTATAAAATTGCACGGCTCAAGTTCAACTGACTGACTGACTGACTGATTGACTCTTTATGAATTGAATTGGGATTGGATCAACTGTACTAGAGAAGGCAAATAGCGAACTACTGTTGATATGAATCTTCGTATTGGTTGGTTTCGACTCGCTGTTCATATCGGGTCTGCTTGCTAGTCACTGATGAAAAGAGTAAAAAGAAAATGAGGCTTGCATTTATTTGCATTTATATTTACGCTTGCACAATTTCTCTTTCCACCTTCAACCCTCCCCTTCCTCCTTTCCTTTTTTCTTCACTTACCCTTTTACCTTTACCTCAACTCCGATCAGTTCTTCATTTCATATTCATAATATAACTCGAGGAAGTCTCCATCTCGACCAACCTCAACATACCTTCAACGGAAAAAAGACAAGACAACAACAAATAATCAATCGCTCCTTCCTTCGGGATCTCCACATTCTTTTCAAAACCAACCTACCTCAACATCCTCATTCATTTATAGGTTTTAATCAACTTCACTCTTTTCAGTTGATTTTAACCGTCCATTCTTTCGAAAGGTCCAGCCCATCTCACACAGTTCCGGAAGAGATCAATCAAAAAAAATATTAGGAGATTCAGCGAATATTACTCCAATCATTCATTACTTTGGTCAGCAGTTATTGTTGCTCTTGTCTTGTCTGGAACTTCTTACTCTTTGTGTAAGTTGTTCCTCTTTGGTTATTGTCATTATTGTTGCTGCGAGGTAAATATTTAGGGAGAGATCGAGGTGTGCTACACAATGCGTTGTCGCAGTTCGCAGTACCTGCACACAAATGGAGAGACAATTTTAAGGATGGAAGACTGTGAATAGCTTCGCCCTATCATGATAATTGGATTGAATAACATGGACTAACATTACCATTCTTATAGCCATAGCCATAGCCATAGCCATAGTCAACGTCAATACTCTCCTCGATCTTTGCTATTGTGTTGATGACATTGATACTCAAATAACGACCCATTGAACGACAACCCGAAGCAATAATAATAACTTCATCCATTCATTTACATAATCATATTCAATATGGCTTCGATATCCACTCTCAAAATCAGAAGTTCATCTATTCTCAACGTCCGTGACGACTCTTCAACTACCACCATGTCAAACTCAATGGTTAACCTTCTTGCTGCCTTGATGATCTTGGTATTCATTGGACTCTTATTGGCAGCTGCTCTGTATGTTGTGCGAAAGATTCGTCGAAACCGAGCTGCTGCTCGACAGCAATTACCTTTACATAATGATCCACCAAGATCACATCACCGCCGATTAACTATTACCGCTACCCCATATGGTGGTCGCGGTTCCACCATTCACGTCTATGATGAGAAGTCATCCATGATGGACTCAGACCGTGCACCACGCTCACCTGAAGATGTTCCTGAAATTCGCATCACTTTCCCTGATGAACATGATGAATCCACAGGAAGTAAGAAACGTGGCCGCGTGGTTGTTGTTCGTGTTGGAGAAACTGGAGTTGGTCTCGAACCCTTGAAGGAGGACTCACTACCCGCTTATGAAAAGGAAACTGGAGGCACCAGATTTCAATCTATCGATATGGATCGCATCGGTGGTTTAAAGGAGAAGGAAAGCTGGTCATAAATCTTCTACGACTTTACTTTCTTTTCTTTTTTTCTCTGGACCTACCTCACCCAAATCACATGAACATACGGAGGATCCTCATACATTCATCTTGCATATATAGACTTACATTCCACCTTCAGCATTTCACCACGCCATGTTGTAAATGACATCATCTTCTTCTCAGCCCGATCTGTTACATACCAATACCGAAACTTTTCTCGTTTATACCGCTCATCGACAATTCCTCAGTACCTCGATCGACTTTATGAACGGCAAAGCAAGGTGTTACCAAGGAAGGATTCAGGGTATTTGGCATCGTTCATATATTTACTACAATAACACTCTCAATCGAAATCGTGATGGATCATTTTCTTTTGTAGGTTGGAATTGGAAGGGAAAGGAGATATTCACACAACCTACCTACCCTCCTCAATTTTGAATGGAGGGAGAGCAACATAAGAAACTCTTTTTTTCGAACAAACTAAGAAGATCAAGATCAAGATAATTGTACTTAATGTATTCTACGTAATTTCTTTAAAATTATGATGGCGCCTTTTTTTTCTAAATGGTTGTTTTTTTCCTTTCGAAATTTTTCAATTCTTTTTTTTTTCTTTCCTTTTTTTTTCATTTGTCTGCTTCTTTCTTTACACAAAAGAAGACGGTTCACAAGTTACGGAAGCACAATCACATTACAGAGAGAGAGAGAAATTACTTAAAGATTTTTATGTTTTATGATGAGATTAATGAATGATCTTAATGTCTTTTTTTATTTGAATTTTGAATTGAATTTGGAATTGACTTTGTGCTTGAATTGTGTTTTATGTGTGTGTATTGTGTGTGAAATTGTATATTGTGTATTAGGTGAAATTAAAATTGTATCGAGAGAGTAGAACAGAGTATAGAGTATAGAGTATATATAGATAGTAAAGTGGAGATGGAAAAAAAGTTTGGTTCAGTTTGGTTCGGTTCGTCTGATCTTCGCCTTTTGTTTGATGTTTATTTATTATTGAGTTTGTGTTTGAGTTAAATTGGATTTGTGATTGTGGTTATTTATATCTTGGATGTTTCTGGTGTTTCTAGTGTTGTGTTTCTGGGATGTTGGTAGGATGTTTCTCGATACGAGACGCGGGTGAGGGTGAGGGTGAGGGGGAGGGTTTGGGAATGTCTTGGATGCGGGAATGTCTTGGATTTTGGATGGATTTTGGATGTTGGATGGGGAGGGATGTTTGGGATGTTTGGGATGTCTTGCATATGTGGAATGGTGGGTGGGATGGATGGATGGATGGGATGGGATGGATGGATGGATGGATGGATGGGATGGATGGATGAGATGGATGGAAAATGGGAGAGGAAGGAGGAAAGGAGGAAAAGATGGAAAAAAAGTGGAGGAAAGGATGGATGGATGGATGGATGGATGGATGGATGGATGGATGGAATGGATGGAATCGAGATAAAGAGAAAGAAAGGAAAATCAGGTCGAGGATATGGAATTCTTCGAAAATGAAGAAGAAAATGAAAGAGAAATGAAGGATGAAAGGATGGAAGGAAAATGAAAGGATCGTGGAGAGATGGATGGTTGGATGGAAAGGTGAGAGGATGGAGAGGATGGGATGGAGAGGATGGAGAGGATGGAGAGGATGGAGAGGATGGAGAGGATGGAGAGATATTAATAATAGAAATATTTTTTTATTATTATTATTATTATTATTATTATTATTATTATTATTATTATTATTATTATTATTGTAAGTTAAATAAGATGAATTGAATGAGATAAATTGAATGAATAAAGTTGAATGATTTCAATAAAGTTAAATGATTTTTGTAATATACAAGAGCCTTATAAAAGCTGAATAAATATAATCAATTATATTCTTTAAAATTTATAATTGAAAATTATAGCTTGTAGGGAGTATTTATATATATATATACAAAATACCTATATAGTAGTTGTATAATTATATACAATTTGTTTTAAGGTAATTATAATGTTATATTAAAAAGAATAAATTTGGTAAGATATATATAGATTATTAATTCATCGATAGGAATTATTGATCAATTGGAATTATATGATTGTTTTTTATATAAAATATATAATATTATTCTTTTCTTTAGGAAAGTTCGCTTTTGAGTTTGTTTATTTCTTTATTTTATTGATTATTATTGGAAATCAGAATCTAATAAATTTATAAGTTTTAAATCGATTAAGTTAATTGTTCTTGATTGATTTGATCAATTATATTAACAAACAATTATTAAATTGATCAAATCAATCAAATCGATTAAATTGACTTTTTTTGATTTTTTTAATTTATTGAAAGAAGAGTTTAAAAGATTTATTAATTTTAAATTGATTGAATTAGTTGATTTTGAATAGTTTAATTGATTATATTAGTAAATAATTAAATTGATCAAATTAATTTTTGAGAACCTTTTAAAAAAAGAGTTTTAATAATAAAAGAGTAAAATTAAATCTTTTTTTTTATATTAATTTGAAATAATAATAAATATAATCTTTGAGTATACTATTATTACAAAGTAACAATCAACTTATTTATATAAGCTTAGGTCCTATCGAAAAGTAAGGCGATTTGTATACAAATTTGTATAATAATTATCTTATATAATCCCCTCATCTTTAGCAAGCTCGGATATATAATCTGATTGTAATTATATAATAGATTATAGAATCTAAAGGATCTAAAGAATTGTATTTTAAATCTATTAGATTTTTATGATCTAATTGATATAAAGATTTATATAATTAAAAAAGAATTCCTTTTGTAAAGTTTTATATTCAAGATTAATTATTTAATATAATCTATTATTAATTACAAATTGTAATTATTGATATTATTTTAAAGTTTTTGTTTGATATTTAATTATAAACTATTCGAGGATTCAAATCATTTTTATATAATCTAAATTGTATTCTTTGTAATGTTTTGAGTATTATTATTATCTCAAATATTAGTTCAACAAAGTAATATTATATCTTCTCAGATTCTTTAATTTAGTAATCCAATTTCAATCATTTTAAAGAATATAAATCAAAATAAAGATATCATTATAAAAGAAACGAAGGATTCTAAAAGATCATTATTACCGAAACCTTCAAGATTGTTTTATTTAATAAGTTTATAGATCATTGATAAAAATTAGAAACCTTTTTATTTCAATTTGAGATTTATTTTAAGTTCAATAAGGATAAGTTCTATTACAATATTAATAAAAACATTTAGATTATCTTCTATTTTAAAGGAAAAATCTTCAAATAGATTCAATTTTATTTTAAAGATTATTTTATTTATCTAAATAATTTCAAAAAACAAATATATTCAATATAAATCATTTTTAAAATATTTATTGGATTCAAAAGAGAAATATAATAGATATTTGAAAATATTAATGAATTATATAATACTAAATCCAAGATCTATAATCTTAAACAAATAGGATTAGTAATGAAATTGTAACAATCTGGTCGAGGCAGCGGCTGCCTGAGGTTTTGTATAATTAGTAGTTGTAGATTAAGATTAATAATTATTGATTATCTATTCGAAGATGAATATATTATTAGATCAATTGGAATATAGATAAACTAATTGATAACTAAATTGAGTATAAAGCTTCTAAACTATGAAACTATTCTGATTATATATTAATCCATTTCAGGAGCTTTCAGGAGTGTAGGCTTTTATAAACTTTTTAAAGTCTTCAAGAGTATAAACTCCTTGAGGTTTTATTATATAATTAGGATCAGATTATATATCTAAGCTTATTGAAAATAAGAAGATTATATAAAGCAATTGTTATATAAATTTGTATACAAATTGCTTTGCTTTTCAAAAAGATTCAAATTTATAAGAACAGATTGATTATTACCTTATAACATTTTATAAAATGATTTTGTAATATTATTTTTTTTTTAGTTAAATATCGTTTCTGGTTGTTTATAATTAGTATATGATTTATTAGTTTTTGTTATTTTATATCTTAATTCTTTTTTTTATTATAAATGATTTATAATTTAACAAAATTCATCGAAAGAATAAGAAGAAATCCTGTTTTATAATTGAAATCGAGAATTTTGATATTGAAATGATTTTATATATTTATTGTTGTATAAAAGGTCTTCATTGTATAAAAATTCTGAATAATTTGTAAAAGATTTGTTATTCCGAATATATACAATCTTGTACTTTTTATAATATAAAATAATGTTTGGAAGATGATTAAAATAAAGAAGTTCTTCGAATAAGTGATTGGGAATTCTTAGATAAACAAAAGGAAAAACTTTGTAAAGAAGAAGAATAGGTTATAATTAAAATTCTTTGTTTTCGAAAACAATAAGATTATTTACAAGGTTATTATAGAAAGATGATTGAGTGAGGTTTCAAATATCTTGATGAATTGGATGCTTTAGAAGAGAAGAAAAGAAAAGAAAAGAAGGAAATTATTATGTCTATAGTGTTTGTTATTAATTCTAATATATTTGTAGTCTAGTATCTTTTTTATTTTGTATTCGGTATCTTGATTTATAAATATGATTTCTGTTTTAGGAGTTTTTGATGCTTTTGGGGGTATTAGTTCGAGTAGGGATATATAGAATATTAGATATATATTTATATTTTTTCAATAATATTAATTTATAATTTAAGGATCCTTTAACTTTCTTGATTTTGAATAATCCGAGTTTTTTGTAATCCAATTTTGTATTAAGCTTTTTCGTTTCGATGTTTTTTTGAAGTAAATAAACTTTATTTCTTTTTTTTAATATTGATTTCTGATTATATTTCCGATTATAATAATATATATTTCTTTCGATAACAAATTTTAATTTTATTATTATTTCTTTATAAACTTCTTTAAGTATTTTTATTTGTATTATTGCAAATTAGTTTTTTATTTCTGTAATCCTTGATTTGCAATATATAATTAATTCATATTTATAATTAATGTAATTCGAAATGATTTATATTATTTCCGATATTGAATTATTATATACAAATTATATTAAAAGTAAAAGTTCTATTTAATTGTTTTGTTGATAATTTATATAATATTGAAAATAGATTTCGATAATTTGATTTATTTTTTTGTTCTTTTTATTGATTTGTAGATAGAATATAATAAACATTTTTCTTTTTATTTTTAATAATATTATTAAAACAATTCAAAATTTCGATATAAAAAGTTTATTTTTATTAAAAAGTATTTCCTTTAATAATTTATATATTATAATAACCTTTTTTAGAAATATAAAAATTAATATTTCTATAATTAGTATTATCTGATATAATATAAATATTAAGTATTTCGTTAATCTATTTAATATAATAAAAAAATAATTATATATTATTTTTATTATTAGATCTCTGGATTTTGATAATAGATTTATAAAGTTTTATAATATTGATTTCTATAATATAAATAATATTTCAATAGTATTTATTTGTTTATAAAAAGTATAATAAAAAGTTTTATTTTTAATACAAATATTATATTTAATAATCATTTTATTAATTATATTACAAAATCCCAAACTTTAATATTATCTTTTGATCTTTAGATATATTTCTTGATATTTGTAAATTAATAATATATATTATTTTATAATATATTCAAAAACGATATTATTAAATAATTATATTTTGTTTTTTATTCGAAATAATCTATTAACAATTATTAATAA